GTGGGCGTCTTACAAGGGTCTTAGGACACCAACAAAGGCAGAGAGAAAGGAGAAATCAAAACAGCAAAAAGAAAACTTGACAAAGTGAAACTTGCCAAATATTAATTGGTATTTTAAACAGCAAAATAAGATATTAAGCACTCAACACCCATTAAGTTGAGACCCATCAATAGCCAACCGCTAACAAGCTTCAGCCAAATTGACAAATTAGCTGAGAAAAACCATTTGCGGCGAGTGGCAAACAAATTAAACAAATTACAGCCTTTGTGTGTTGGCAACGTGCAGCGGAAATTAACCAAAAGCCAAAAGCCTGACTTGGCTAATTGATCGAAAAACGAGTCAAAAACGAGAGAAAGAGAGGCTCATGCAAATCTGTTGAGATGAAGTCATAAAATTCTGAAGCTTCTCTCTCGGTTTGTATATATAGAAATTAATAAAAAAAAAACAAATAAAAATAAAATTCGGCAACAATAAATATGAAACTCGTTTTGGCCAATCTATTAGCCCTGGTCTTGGGCCTGGCTATTTTCTCTGCTCAAATAAAGTAGTCAAATTTATAATCAACAAGTTCATTAACATTTAACCCTAAACGCACGACGTGGAGCAACCCAACAACAGTCATGATAAAAACAACCAAAGGCGACAACTCAACGAATGAGTGGCGTACAAAAAATATACAACAAAAATGTATTTTTAACAAATTAAAAATTGTTTTAAGGCCTCAGGCATTGTGCGTATTCCGGCCGAGGAGGGGGAAGCCGAAGCTGAAGTTGGAGAAGCTGGGTCAACACAGGAGGTGGAAGTGATGCCAGTCAAAGCCGAGTAAAGTGAAGGTAGAGCCCAGCTAACACAGTTAAATTTTAATTAAAGATTTCCAGGTGGAAAGCTGGAAGGGAAAGGCACCAAGAAGCCAGCCAAGAAATACTCTAATTTTTAAAAATAAAAGAAAAAATCTTACAAGAAGAAAATAAATATTAAATGTTGCCTTACTTTGTTTATTAATTATTTTATTTAATTAAAATATATATATACTATTTTTTTTGTGTATAATTTTAATGTATATTTTTAATATAATAATTATAAGGTAATTCTTAATACGTTTTCTTTACCTTAACTACTTTAAAGCTCTTCAAAATCAAAACCCCTCTTAAAATATACAACTTCCGTTAAAAATACATTAAAATATTCCCTTATAAATCACCTCAGTAATATATAAAACAATATTTCAACTAAAACAAAATCCCCATCTAGATAACTAGAGATCCCTTAGTACTCCCTAAAATAAATCATCTGCTGACCATATCGAGTGTCGCCCCGACGGAAACCTTTTATCCTCCTAAGTGGCGCACTTTCCCCATTAATTCCAGTGTTAACCCCGCCATATCGCCTCATCCCATCGCAGGCTCCAATTACGTGTGGTAACTCTATATCCAAATAGTTCCCAGAAGGAGCACGCATAGCTCTCGGGGATTGCAGGGTATGCAAATGAGTGGGAAAGAGTGAATAACTCCGAAGATCGAGCTGGAAGTGCGAGTGCGAGTACGAGTATATTATGGACTCCCATGTGCGGCCATTAATTATCGGGAATCGCCGCTCGCCGGCACTCAGCACAGCGTCTCAAGCACACGGATTTACGCATTTGGCTGCGTAAAATATGAATTTTAAATTAACCAGCCTCGGTTACGGTTTTGGGTTCGGTTTCGGGTTCCCATTTCCAGTTTCACCTGAGAAATTATCAGGGAGGAAGGGGAGGTAGCCCTCCAAGGCGTTCATACCGACCAGTTTTTCCTCAGCACCAGTTTAAATTTCGTTTCCAGTTTGACAATTGAGTTGTAGCCTGTGATTAAGACCCTTATGCAATTGAGATTTTATTGAACTGTATTTGGGAGAAAGCCAAATTAATGCAGGTTTATTAATAATTAGGTGAATATATATGGTTTTGTTTAAGATTTTGTTTTGATATTTATTATACGAGTTTATAAAAAAACAAAATAGATTTTCCTGATTTTGTATTATAGTTTCAAGTACCTTTTAGTAATTTTTTTAACACTTTTCTTTAAGATAATTTTGAAATAATTTATTTTAATAGCTTTTTAGGTTCTAAATAATATTAAATTAAATTAATAATTTTCATATTAACGGTAATTTTTATTTATCGATAATACAAAAAATATAATTCTGGTATATATTTCTAAACTTGTAGTATTATTGCAAGCGTTCTTGAAAAAACGATTTCGGGCACACTTAAAAAGCGGCGTCGGTTCTTGTAAGTTCTGCAGTGAAAAAGTTAAGCAAAATGTGAAGTTAAAGTTATGAGCGATATAAACGAAGTTGCTGCATTGGAAAATCTTTTGGAGGAGTGGGAGTTTAGCGACTTATTGCCCACATTTCTCGGTAAGTTCTCAAACAATCATCTAAAGTGCGATAAGATCCCCAATTGGCATATGTATATGTGTAACATGCATGCATGTTATAATTCTTCGTTTTGCCACTCTGACAAGTTTGTTGCTTGAGTCTTTTGTTTTGCCTTCAGCGCAAGAATCATTAGACTCCGAAAAAAATACAACAAAAATAAAGTAACCGAAAACGAAGATGAATAATAATAATAAAAAAAACTAGAAACAGAAACCGAAACAGAAAACAGTAGCCAAAAATTGTGGTGGAAAGGCAAAGCTCATTAGCAGTTACCATTTTATCCAAACAGACGGACACGGAGGCATCATTATCATTAAGGGCAAACGGGAAAGTAACAACAGCAGCAGCCGCAACAACAGAAACAAGTTGAAAACTTTAATTAACGCATTTTTACGCAACTGTCGGCGGCTGTTTAACCCCTTCTGCCTTTGTGGCCAAATGCTGAGCAAACATGACAACGGTAATAATTGAAAATCATGGCAATCAAAGCGGAAAGTGCCTCGGAAAGGGGCAGGGGGGAAAGGGTGCTTGGAAGTTGAGCGGAAAAATCAACAGCTGCCGACGGGCTAAGCGTGAGAGAGAGAGGGAGCGACGGCAGCAGCCATTGTTGTCATGCGTGAGAGAGCAGGGTGGCCAGCGACAGAGAGAGAGAGACACCCTAGGCAGACAGGGATGGCCATAGAGCACTGACCGAGTTCGAAAATCTTGGAGGGGAAAGGCAGCCAGCCGCCACAGAGAATGAGAGAGAGCCTTCCAGTTTCCAATTTCCAGTTTTTCCCAGTTCGACTTTTAATGGCCGCACAGCTGGAAGGGGTGCGTTTCGAACCGGTTAAATTCGAAACGGCAACGGTTAGAGCTTCTCTCAAGCAGACTAGCTATTCCTTTTAATTCATTATTAAATTATTAATTTATTTTCAAGCTCCATTCCGTGGCTAATAAAAATGCGCATAAAAATGGCATATAAATTTTGGATTTATAACAGGTTTCGCACCGAAAATGTGCTCCAAATACGATCGATAAGCACTCATTGTGTGTCTGGGCGTTAGTTTATTGACAAATATCGGATGGGGGCTTATGTCACTCGGCCAGATTTTTGGCCAGCAGGAAATAAGTGGGAGTGGTTCTTGAAAGATTACCTCTAATTAATAATTATAGAATTAAAAACTAAGCTGCGAGAGATCCGTAAATCAGAAGCCCACACCAAGATCGCTTTTTTATGATTATGCAGAAATTAACACAACAAATACCCAGCTTCAGTATCGTCGAAAAGGCAATTCATTAGCGATTTTGGTTATTTGATTTCGCCTGATTTATGTGCCATATATCAGTGGCTATATGGTCGTGGTCGGATTCCCCAGCACATGTTTCACATTTGTAGATCTCAGGCATTTGATTAGAGCCCCTCTTTGAAAATAAATAAAAAATAAGCTCTATTGTTAATGTCCCAATGCCAAATGGCGTTCATTTTTAACACCTCACCAAGTTTATTTTGACAGTTAGCGTTGGTTTTTTTCGTATTCGACTTTCGGTAAATTGATATTCGATGGGCAGGCAAATAAATAAATTAAAAATCAATTAAATATCAATCAATTGCGTCAGCTGCTTTTTCGCGGCACATTTAACCGTTTAATTGGTTGAATTACGCGTGTTTTTTGTGAAAAAAACAAATATCAATGAGAAGGTCGGAGGATGGGAATGCTGGAAGGTTGGGAATATTGGAAACTCGCATTCAAATTATAACAATTAGTGGCCGCAGCTTGCGGTTTCCACAACGCCTCCTCCTCCCGCGCTACGGCAAAAGGTGGTGTCAATAAAGTTGTAGGCTGTTGAAAACGCCGATTGAAACGTCGTGGCCAAAAACAAAATCAACAAAAACTAAATGCTTTTATGAAGAGTGCCCGTCGAAAGGGATGGCTATATCAGCCACCAGGCAGAGGAGTGAGTGCCCTGCTCTCTCCACTGCCAGCAGGCAGCCATTTTCCTAGCTTGCACCTTGTAAGAGGGAGCAGTGCAGCTATATCAACACCGGCCTAAGCTACGCCCCGCCAGAGCGGGCCAGCATGTATCAGAGAGTGAGAGAGCCGCGCAGGCGCTGTGGAGCAGGCGACACAGTTGTCAACCGCCTGACAGCTTCAGCGCGCGCATAATAAAGTCATATCGCCGCCTAACAAGCTCCCCCTTGCGAAAAATGGGGGAGGCAGGCCAAGACCGAGAGAGAGAGGGAGTCAGCGAGACCTAAAGAGCGAGTAAGAGCATGAAATTGTTGCAGAGTGAGCGAGAGCGAAACCGGTTCGAGCGGGGCAGGTGACAAACCTCGTGAGAGAGCAAAAATCGATCAGTGGAAGTCTTCGACTCTTCGACTCTCATCTTCGTCACTGTCACAGCTGCCTGTCTGTCACTCACACAAACACACACAAGCACAGAGCGTGTGTATTACCCTCACTTTCTAGCACACACCCCAAGCCGCAGCTCTCGCTTGCCTGCCAGAGCTCTCTCTTTCCCGCATGACAGTTCAATCGGCTCTCGCGTCGTCGCCGCTGCTTCGTCAACTCTCCCCGACTCAACCAAGTCGCTGCGCTGGGATTCCCAACTAATTCAGTCGTTGCGCTGGACGTGAACAGACGTGCGTGTCGGAACAGGAAAAAGCAAAACCAAATCCAAATCCGAAACCAAACCAAAACCAAACATACGAAAGCGAATCTGAAGCAAAGTGCTCAAGTGACAAGTGTCTTGTGTGTGTTTAGAGTCCGAGCTAGAGACCTCAGATGGCATTGGAGGATCGCTGCAGTCCACAGTCAGCGCCCAGTCCCGTTACGATCTCCGCTCACCAAATGCAGCAAATGCACCAGCAACACCAGCAGCAGCAGCAACAGCAGCAACAAATGCAGCACCTACACCAACTACAGCAGCTGCAGCAGTTGCATCAACAGCAACTGGCCGCCGGCGTGTTCCACCATCCGGCGGTGGCCTTTGATGCGGCAGCTGCAGCAGCCGCAGCCGCAGCAGCAGCCGCTGCAGCGGCCCACGCCGCCCATGCCCATGCGGCACTGCAGCAGCGGCTCAGTGGGAGCGGCTCGCCAGCCTCCTGCTCCACCACGCCGCTGACCATTAAGGAGGAGGAGAGCGACTCCGTCATTGGCGATCTGAGTTTCCACAACCAGACGCACACCACCAACGAGGAGGACGAGGCCGAGGAGGAGGATGACATCGATGTGGATGTGGATGATACGGCGGGACGCCTGCCGCCGCCCGCCCACCAGCAACAGTCCACGGCCAAGCCCTCGCTGGCCTTCTCCATCTCCAACATCCTCAGCGATCGCTTCGGCGATGGCCAGAAGACATCACCCGGCAAGCAGGAGAACCAGGCCGGCATCTTCCGGCCCTTCGAGCCGGCAAGTCGCTCCCAGACAGCCACGCCCTCTGCCTTCACCCGAGTGGATCTCCTCGAATTCAGCCGGCAGCAGCAGGCAGCCGCCGCAGCAGCCACAGCAGCCATGATGCTGGAGCGGGCCAACTTCCTCAACTGCTTCAATCCCGCCGCCTATCCCCGGATTCATGAGGAGATCGTCCAGAGTCGCCTGCGCCGGAATGCAGCCAACTCTGTGATCCCGCCTCCCATGGGCTCCAAGATGAGCGACAGTAATCCGGAAAAGTCTGCCCTGGGATCGCTGTGCAAGGCCGTCTCTCAGATTGGACAACCTGCGGCTCCGACCATGACACAGGTGCCGCTGAGCAGCAGTGCCAGCAGCCTGGCCAGTCCGCCGCCTGCCTCGAATGCCTCTACGATCAGCAGCACCTCCTCCACGGCCACCAGTTCGAGCTCATCCTCGTCGTCGGGTTGCTCCTCGGCGGCCAGCTCGCTGAACTCCTCGCCCAGCAGCCGCCTAGGAGTAAATGGATCCGCAGCCAATGCCAGTAGCCCGCAGCCCCAACCCATTCCTCCACCATCGGCGGTGAGCAGGGATTCCGGCATGGAGTCCTCGGATGACACACGCTCGGAGACGGGCTCTACCACCACGGAGGGCGGCAAGAACGAGATGTGGCCCGCCTGGGTGTACTGCACCCGCTACAGCGATCGTCCCAGCTCAGGTTAGTACTCAATATCTCGAAAAAGAGAATATTCCCTAAAAAAAATATGATCTGGGGACCACCCCTGGGGGAAGCGTAATAGTTGGCGGCGTCCTCCTTTCAAGCCGGCTTTGTTTTGTGTCATAAATCCCAAGGACACTGAAACAATTAGGAGACACGCGGGTACAATGGCAATGAGTCTACATTTCATTTCAATTCCGATTCCAAGTCCGACTTCTTTCGGGGCCTCACGCAGCGTTGCGCTCCTTTTGAAGAGCGACACTTTATGTGACAACATGTAGGGCCAGGGCACAGCCAGCGGCAGCGTTTGCTTATCGCCGACAGGCCACTAGGAGTGGGAGTAGGTTCCCTGGCAGCCGAAGGTCACAGGTCACGCACACACGCCAGAAGCAGAAGCGACCATAAAATGCGCTGACGATTGACAGGGCCAGCCAAAGGGGGAACAAAAACTAGGGGAAAACCCCGGGAAAATCGGGAGAAAGAGTTTTTCTTACTTTGCTTTCCCAGATTTCCTTTTATTCCCTCGGTTTTCCTTCTCAAGTCTTTGTGTTAATTGACAAGTTAAGTGCTTTTTTATGGCTTTCAATGGTTTTTTAATTTGGTGTCGATGCAATCGATAGTCAAAGCCATAATCGAGGCGTTGATAGGCTCCACTCCGAGGCTAGAAATTAATCAAACGATCTCCACTTACCACTTGCCACTTTAATTAAATTATAATTTACAATGTGTGGAAATCTAATAAGCACTTTTAGTGGCCAGACTAGAGAGTCTTGCCAATTAGAAGGAGACTGCGACTTGGTCACTAATTAGAGACTTGCTCGGCTGGAAAATCATTTGACTAAAATATGCCCGACCTTAGGTTCGTTAGAAGACTTCTTTTGGCTGCCCCTCACTTCTCCTAGCTTCCCTTCTCCTCTCTTTTTATATATATTTTTTTTTTTTTTGCTGCTGACAGCTGACAAATTGAACACTTCCCTCCTAGCACGCAAAGTATATGTGGAATATATGGAATATTTAGAGAAAAAAAGGGAGCTAAGGCTGAGGAATTTCAGGCCAGACATATATGCTAATTAAATCATTAATATTATTAATAGTATATGTGGCTCATTTATGCAAATAGTTTTGGAGAGACTAACCTTTATTTTTCCCTTTCTCGCTTACAGGACCCCGCTACCGCCGCCCCAAACAGCCAAAGGATAAGACCAACGATGAGAAGCGACCCAGAACCGCCTTCTCCAGCGAACAGTTGGCCCGCCTCAAGGTGAGTTTCCATATCCTTAACATTCCATAAATATATGCCTCCTTGTTGTGTCAATTTGGCACCAAAAGATGCCTCCTTGTTGTGTCATATTCGAACCAAAATATTTACGGACCGCCCGCTGTTGAAGGCATCCCCTGACAACCGCATCCTGTCCAGTCCCAGTCCGTACTTAACCAATTAGCCACGCCTGGCCTCGTCCCAAAAACCGCAAATAATTGATTTGACTTACCTGAATCTCTATCTATCCATCCAAAACTCATCCGTAACTCTCTGCTCTTCTCTATTTACAGCGGGAGTTCAACGAGAATCGCTATCTAACCGAGCGCCGTCGCCAGCAGCTAAGCTCTGAATTGGGCCTGAATGAGGCTCAGATCAAGATCTGGTTCCAGAACAAGCGGGCCAAGATCAAGAAATCCACGGGCTCCAAGAATCCCCTGGCCCTGCAGCTGATGGCCCAGGGGCTGTACAATCACACCACCGTGCCGCTGACCAAGGAGGAGGAGGAGCTGGAGATGCGGATGAATGGCCAGATACCCTAAGCAGAGGGAGGCTAACGAGATCTCCAGGGATCTCCAGGGGCGTGCAATAAAAATCGATAGGGGGCGGCGTACAAAATGGTTTTTCATGTGATATAATTGTAGCGCATATTGTACATATATAAACATTAATAATTATTATTAATTTTAAGTAAACGTAGCGAGTTGTTGGCGTATTTATTTAGAGAGTATTATTAACCAACTTCTAGGCTTGTTGCACTCTAAAAAAAAAACAGCTTCGTCGACTTTCTCACATTTATTATTCCTACACTACAAAAATCTATATATCTATAGACATAATGCTTTGTAAATTAAGTAACTTAACAACAGTTTCCTCTAGCCTAAAATATAGTTTAAGTTTAAAGCTATGAAAGAGTATTTTTAGTTTGTAAGCTGAGAGGAGAAAGAAATGCACCTAAGACAGAATTAATAACAAAGATGTTCTTGTGAAAACCATGTGCTAAAGCAAAAAGTTCAACATAAATGAAAAGAAAACAAAAAGAACTAAGAAAAAAACACGAAGAAAAAATAAAAACAATTATGGAAAATTAAACAAAAGGTGGTTTTTATTTAAAGCCAAAGGGGTGGCGTAGATCAAAGGATTGCTGCAACTTTAAATCATGTAAATGTGGCCTTGTCACCGAGGGTGCCGCCGATGCCGCCGCTAATTGCACAATCACACATTCCTACGATTTACAGAATCTGAGTGACGGCAACAACTTGGATCTTCGATTCCATTCCGTTTAATTAAAGGCACGGGCATGGGGCACGGGCTCTATAAACAAATATAATCTGAGAGACAAAAAGACTGACTGAGTGACTGCGGGGAATGATTTATTGGCACAGATCTCGCCGAGCGGCGTTAATTTGCTGAAAATAAATGCAAAAAAATAAGCGAAAAATGCGAAAATGCAATGAGATGGGCAGCTGACATTAACTGGCAAGCGATGATGTGTGTGCCTCTGCCTGTGGGCTGTGTGTGCCGAGTGTGTTTGAATATGAATTGATGCCAAACGCTAATTGCATGGCTTCAAATCCGAAATCCGTTTGCATGTCTCGCGGAGTTTCAGCGGGTGTCTGGATTTGGTTTTGGACTCAACTCGAGCGTATTATAGAGGCGCAAATCCATTTGTGCACGTAATGAACCAATTAGACAATTGAGCCCATTAGCCATTGCTGCAATCTGTCTCGCCTTCGGGCTGTCTGTCTGCAAATCGAATTAAATGAAAGCGGAAATCAAATGGAGATTATTTATGGGATACTCTATATCTTGCAGGAGGGTATATCAGCTGGGGAAATATTTTTCTAAGATTTTGTAGGATTTTTTGAAGGGGAAATATTAAAAAAAATTATTTTTTATGGTTATATGAAGGTCAAGTGTTTCAAATAATGTGTTCAATGCTTTTCTGAAACGTTATAACACATTTAAAGAATTATTTCTGTCCATAATAGTCTTGGTTTTATAATATTTAAAAGAAACTTTGAAACTGTTTGAAGCAAATAATATTATTTTTAATTACCCTTACAGGGTATTCTAATTTTAGTCAAAAGCCTAAAATATGGTGAAGGAGTCATTTCTGACCCTATATATCATATATATTCTTGATCAGCATAAACAGGAGAGTCTTTCTAGAAGAAAAAATAGAATTTTTTTTTTCTTCGATTTTTTCGAAATTCGATAAGGGGTTACATCATTAAAATTTTCAAAAATTGATAAAATTTCGATTTTCTAAAATGTATGCAGGTTTATTAAACTAATAAAAACTAACATAGGAATGCTTTCCGATTTGAAATTAATGGCATTTTGGCCAAGTTATGAGCAATTTTCTTGATCTAAAAGCAAACTACAAGGGAATAAAAACTTCGGCTTGCAATAGCTTTAGAGTTATTTTATAATATTCTTATTTTTCTGTGCAAAGTTGGTCATGAACATAATGTAAAATGTTTAATAAAATACAATAAGATAATTATAAATTGAATATAAGGAAACATTTCGTTGTTTTACTTACTAGTTCTTAGTTCTTAACTCTTTTCCCTAGAAGTTTATACTTTTCTCTCCTAACTTCAATTAACCCTTTAACAATAAACCCCTTTTTTAAGCCCTAACTTAATTCCTATGAATCATTTTCAATAACTATATTGATTCATTGATTTTCTCCTCACCGCACCACGAATCCCCCATATCAATCTGTTTGGTAACGCTGACTGAGGGGTCACCAGGTAATTGATTACCTGGCCAGAGCTAGCAGCTAGCGTGTGAGCAATGTGTGAGTAATTTGCCAGCTAATAGGTGTTGTTGGGACCACAAAAGGCAAAGGCAAATTACATATAAGCCACACATCGATCGATTATCGAGGAGCTAGTATTATTATATAGAGATATCAAGCGGGGTCAACTAGATATAAGATGCAAATTATATCCCTGGCAGGGTATCTCAGCTATTAATCGACTTTTTCTTGTTTAGTTTTCGTTTCGATATCAAAGCAAACACTTTCAACACTTCTAATTAGCAGAAATTGCCAAGTGACACACTAAATTTCACTTTCAGACAGCTCAAGGGAATGGAATTTCAATTGCGCATACAATGTAAGGGGTATTTAGTTAGGGGGATGCTGATGCAGATGCAGATACATATGCTGATGCTGATGTTGGGGCATATAAAAGGAGACGGAGTTGAGGGGCAGTGAGCGACGATCCATCGAGCGAGCTATTAAAAAGCCACAAAAACACATATGCCGACTCCATAAGTCAGTCGTCGTCGTCGTCGTCGTCATCATCGTCTGTGTGGGCGCAGCTTCCCCTCTTAACCCGATCCTCATCCTCGTCCTCATCCCCAACCCCAACCCCATACCCCTTCCATCGTTCCATCCCCCGATTCTTTTGCCATTTCCATAGGGAACGTGATTTATGCCCCTTTGACGTTGACTACAAATACAAAATACAAACTACACAATCTGCACGGTGAAAAAATATTAGAATTATTGGTGTAATTTCAGTTAAAAATACAAAGTTGTAGTTTTTATTTAATAGAAACTTTTAGACATTTCTAAAATGCTTCTTTGTAGATAAAGCAGTTTTCATATTAATATGATATATATTAAAAATAACTTTCTTATTACAAAAGAATCTTTATTTTAACTAAAACTAATTTTCTTTCTCCCCGTGCACTGGCTCCTCAAGAACCTACGATGGATGTATGATTCCCTCTCCCTCACTGCTCCAATTCAGTGTCCTCCGGACACGTGTCTGCCACTGGAGGCAGCCCTCCCCCCCCACAATGGGCACCCCAACTGATCGCTAATTGCGCTTTTTGGGTGGTGCTCGCCGCTTTGCAGTTTTGTCGCCTTAATTGCCGCCGCTCCCCCCGCTCTCTCCTCGAGAAGATCTACTAAAAACTGGGAAATGGGCGACGGCAGATTTATTTGGCCCAACGCAATTGAGGCTGCCACTTGTTTCCGCTTCGCTTTATCAATTGATTTACGAGATTTGTGCTGCTGGGCTGTGCAGGGCATCAAATGGCAGATGAAATACGGAAAATGCGAGTACTTAAACGTAACGATTACGAGCGCCTGATGTTCGCCATTTGCCAGAGAGTCCAGAGGGTTGTCAGTGGAGGAACATGGCTGGGAGTTGGAGTTGGAGATGAAGCTCTAGCTGAAACTGAAGCTGTGCCAGAGCTGTTGGCATTTCATAATCGCTGCCTGCCAGAGTTCCGTGGAAAGTGCACTCAATTATGGCCAACAGACAGGCGCTCCAAAGTCGGGACTCTCCCGTTTGCGGCGGCGCTACCAATGGCATGGGCAGCAAGTATCTCATGAGTGCGAGGAGCTGTATCTCATGGATAACTCTTATGGGCTGCCAACTCGGAGAGCTCACTGAGATCGCTCCCAGAGCCTAAACAAACATTCAAATGTACTCGGATTTTCAGCAGAAGTCAACGCCAACATATAAGGCTGGAGACCGGCATCATCATCATCACCATCATCATGATCGTCTCCTCCTTCAAGTCGGAGACGTCAATGCCGCTGCCTGTGTGTGTGTTGACTCAACGCATTTGATCGGCTCGGCCTTAACCCCTTCCTCTCCAACCCGCTGGCGCTTAGCACTGACCAAATATTTGAGCCGCGCTTTGTTAACCCATTGTAATTGATTGTCTTTAACAGCAGAGTTCTGCATTCTATATTAAGTATCCAGTATCCGGAGTTAGGGCAACGTGAGTCCGTACAATTTGCTGCCCGCTAATTGCCCAGCTGCTTGCGCCTTTGTTTGGCCATCGATTTGCACCTACCAACTCCTCCTCGGCTGCTAACTGCTCTCAATGCCCGGCTAATTGAGTTGGTCAACACGGGCGCCAGGCTCAAAAGAGCTGAGCTGAGACTAACAAGATTTCTAACTGCTCCTACACATGGCTTGGATAGAGTATCTTTGGTTGGGAGTATCTGGCAGTATCTTTTGGGCCATTTAATTGTATCTGAAGAGGGAAAAAATGGATCAGTTGGCTGGTTTAAAGGTTTCTTTTAAAAGAAACCTGGGGAACCTAAACTTTAATATAGCAATCTCATATTAATATCTTTAGAAATTAAACATTAAGAGCCTTTAGAATAATCTCTTCCATAATCTCCACTTACTAAACCTATAAAAATAAGCAAGAATATCTTTATAAGATAGCCTAAGACCACTTTAGATACACCAATCTTACACCTCTTTTGCATATCAAACTAGAAAAACCATAAAGATAAAAATGTAATTAGCTTTCCCGGACCACACCTTAACTATATGTGATTGAAAAATCCCAGCCAAGTATACAAATATCTCTTTTAAGCACCCAACCTCTTAGAGTGCGGCGCCTTTTGCCTTTGGGTCTCTCCGGCAACGTTTCCGGATGTAATTGCCGGCATTAAACGCCATCAAATGAATTGAACATTTCGTTTATGAGCCATAAATATATGATTATTATTATTATATGTAGAAATGAATAAATGCGTGTCCCGCCAGGAGAGGAGACACAGGTTTCCCACCTCAGCGGTGGGTCCGTTGGGGGGCCTTCCAATGATGACATTATTAACATTATTTTATGCTTATTAATGCCACAAACATTATTTTTCGTGGGTCTTAGAGGGGCATGTAAATGTCACTGAGGTGTTGTCCATGGCCAGGTGAGAGAGGAGTGGAGAGAAAGCAATTATTAATTTGAACTCGCGGGTCAAGACAAAAGCCTGTTGGGCAATGAAAAAAGCCACAGAGTCTTGGGGTCTAATTGAAATGCATTCGAGGGAGTGAATGAATGAACAAGTGAGTAACTGAGTAACTGAGTTTACTGACCAACTGAATATCCAGAAATGCATTAGCCTGAAGATACGGGTGGTCAATGCCGCCGCGAGACAAATGATCCCCCGGAATGGGAGACAACCTCTTGCTCTTCTCCTCCCTCCTCCGATAATGACAATATTTCTGTTTTTATTTGTATTTATTTTTTTTTTTTTTGCATTTGAATATGACAAAGGAACGATTCCTTTTCGAGGA